ACAGCTACATCTGTTATGAAAATTGTTTTTTGTAAACTTCACGTCCTTTTATACATTTCTAATTGCCTAACTCAACACACTGTGAGCTATGCTCAGCTGGAATAGACATCCTAGCAGAGAGAGGGAAATCACTCCTGAACAACGGAAATAAAAACCGTGGTGTTAGCCCGTTAAACTAGTGCACTCACACAGCAAGAACAACACAGGAATTCCTAGGACCCATCCTCTATAACTCAATCACAATTTTGTTAGTGAAGGCTTAAGCGTGGATTTATATTGGTATTTTTGAAGGGCTCTTTGAACTCAGTATACCACAGTCATCTCGCTTTCCTCCTGGGTACTGATAAATATTCTACATAGCTTTCAGTAACTGCTGTTTAAAGATGGATGCACACATATCAATGCAGAAAAACTGAAGAGCTTTTTTCCTACCTTGATCAACATCTTAATAAAAAGGACCTATACATTATAGCTTTCGTACCTGTCCAACCATATATGGTGGCATTGTATAATAAAACTTGTAGGGAATTTTTTTTTTGATTGTTTTAGTCAGACTCAAGTTACGGAGAAAACATTCTAGCATCTATTAACATTTTGGCACTGCTGGATTACTTATTAACAACTTGTTGTCTCAGTCCCAAAACACACAACCTCACATTGTTTGAACTGTGAAAGTCAAAGACCCATCTTCCGCAGAACCTATACACAAAAGCACTTATTGTGATATTTATCTAGCTGGGCTAACTGCTTATCATTGCTTAGTGCTAATGCTACCAAAATCACGTCAGTTGTGACTTCAGTAAAAGAAACTAAAGTCTGAGTCATTAGCACAACTGAATCCACCCTTGCATATGGCCACAGCATAGTTCAATAGATTTTGATATTAGGAGCTTCAAGTATCTCACTTTTCAAAGCACCCACTCTGTCAATTTTCTGTAAGTTCAAATCTGCCTGTGAATTAAATATTGGCAATCCCTGCTTGAGTCATTAAGTTAGATCAAGCAAATATTTAAGTCTATGTATTAAGAAAAAGTTTTCACATTTTGCAAAAATTTACTTTCACTTAACTAGTGAAACTAGAGAATTGTCTAAGAGGTCATTATAAAATGAGTTACATGTGTGAAAACACATTACATACGAAATGGAGGCTATACCAGCTGAACAGGTCCTAGGCCTCAAATCCAGTAAAGCGTGACCGCTTTAGCCCTGCTTTATCAATGATCTCCCTAACACATTTCCAGTTAATCAACTGTTTATACGCTTTACTAGATCAGGGTGCTCAGATTTCCTTTCCATTACTGAGTTTAAACACAGCTCATGACGCTGCCCAGGGGACAGCTGGCTGGAACACTCACCTTTTGGCCACAGCAATAAAGTGTGAAATCTTCCATATTTACTCACAAAAATCTCCCAGTGAAACTTATATCAGGACTACTGACTGTTCTTCAATCTGGTTTTCAAAATGATAAATTGAGAAATTAATTCAACAATTAAACATTACACTGGCAAGGACATTTTCACAATCGCAATTATGGGGTTCAGGTGAAGCCTTGGCTCTACATCAGAACCAGTAACAAAACTTCCAACTATGAAGTTGCATTGACATTAATAGGACTACTTCCTAAGAACAGAAGGTTGCCTACGGTAATAGTGACCTCTTACTCATCATATGCTCTTCTATGACTTCTTTTCATCCACTTTACTGCTTGTAGACTTTCAACCCTGAAAACTCTCTGTGAAGATCCACTGCCAATTACTGGAAAGTCAGGCTACTTTATGGAGCACCTACACAGTAATTTTCAAAACCAGTAAAAGCTCATAGGAGATGTTATCCTTCACAGAGAGGCTGAATGTGGCACGCTATTTATGACTGACAGATGGAAAGTAGGAAACGTTGTGAATCCTAGAAGGATGCAGCAGCCAGGATTTTGAAGTGAGCTATGAATTCTTACAACCAAAAGTTCTGCAAAACAAGGGGATGAAAATAAGCCGAGATTGAGTCTCATATTTTAGCAGCATAGACATCAAGATGCAAGACCCTGGATTATTTCTAGCGAGTAATTTGAGATTCTGCAGCTCGATCTACTGTGAAATCTCCTGAGCAGAGAAATCCAGGAAAGAACTCAATAAGAGACTACAGGATGCTGTTTGAGCTACAACAAAGTGTTAAGCTTTTATCTCTCTAACATCTGAGAAAGAATGGTGTAGATTAATTATTTGCTGCAACAGCATGAAATTATAGCTTTCTGTAGTTTACAATCTTAAATTATGCTGCAAGGCCAGACCATTTTATTGTGTGGCTGATACCCTGTTGGAAAAAATCCAAACTGTATTTCTCTTCTTTGCTCAGCAAAACCATTATGTTGATTGAATCAGAGCCAATATGTACACTCAAGAGCTGTCTTGCCTTAACCTTATTTGTAAATTAGTTAGGACAGAACTGCATTTACGATGCTATAGATAAGCTACAGCTATCCTAAAGCTACTATTTCAGGGGTTGTAAGTCCACTTAAAAGCTAGCTGCCTCCAAATGAAACGTTGTGATTCTGAAGACAGAATAAACCTTTGCACAGAAAACCTGGTGGAGGAAAAAAACCACTATCTCTGGTTGTGAGAAAAAAGGAATAATGGCTTTAGATATGTATTAGCATTTTCTAAAATCTCTAAATCAGAATTCCAGTAAGTACTCAGCTCAATTATTCTGGCTGAGGCACCTGAAACAACACTACCAGACTTCAACATTTACTAATATATTCCCATTCCTGAACCAAATACACATTTAAGATCTATTTAGCCCTTCACCCTGGATGCTGACATGCAATCCTGAAGGATGACACTATTTGGGTTAGCATAGGAACCTCTGTTAAATTGCCATTTGTCACTTTTCAAGCCAACAGAAATCTTGTCAACGATGTGTTACAGCAGAACCGAACCACAGATTCTTTCATACTTTGTAAATATAAATGCTGTGAATGCCAATCTTCATACAATAGACCATTTTATGTCACTACAAGCAAATAAATGCCAAAACAAATACAAAGTCATAAATACACGCTCAGGTAATTATGTCAACATACCTTACTGGTAGCCACACGCTATTTCAGAAAAACTAATAAGAGAAAATACTAACACAATGGTATATGGCTCTTTAACTAAATCAGAGTCCCAAGAAACCTCCATAAACTAATACAAAATTAATAATTTACATTACAGTAAAATGCTGTCCCTTCATCTAAACACTAATGAGCTTCTGGTAGCTTACACAACTGCCAAACTTCTGACTCTCATAAGACATCTCCACATGGCAAGGTCAGCTAGAGAGATTAACAACTAATCATTAATCCACTAGTTTCATACCAATCCACCGTGGACCTCCTTACAGAAAAAACCCAGAGTTCTGCACAGAGTTCTACATCCTGAAGATAATGTGCAGACTTCTCCTGTGAAGATCACGTTCTCCTACTTAACAGAAACATAGTTTGACACTCTGCATATTTTATGGAGTCCAGACTTCCTGTAAGTGTGTACAGTAAAATCAATATCAAATAAACAGATAGAAGAGAATAGTGCACGAACAATTTTCCACCTTTAAAAAAAAAATAACCTGCAGTGAATCAAAACCTTTACACAGTTTAGAATATGGAAATAACCTATAAACAGCATTGAGAGAATATTACAGTAAATCATGGCAGTGGCCTTGCTAAGAGTTTTTATTCTTTCATGAGAGCTGTTACATGTCTTTGTTTATGTATTAGAATTAATAGGAAAATAAACTGTTAAATAAATACAGCACTAAAAATCAACAGTTTTTACTCTGTATGCCCTGTAACAAATATTAGACTGCAGAAAGTCAGGTGTTCTTAGCAGATATTAATTAACTAATATAATGATAACCCATGTTGTATATTACATATTCATAAATGTTTGGCACTTGATATACACATTTTCACAGAAGTAACAGGATTGTGAACCTGCTATTTGTTTTCTCCTCTCGGGATCCTGAACTTCACCCTCCCATGGTCACTGCAGGCAAAGCTGCCCCCAGCCCTCATGACCCTGACCAGTTCTCCCTTGTTTATATATCATATCAGGTCCAGCAAAGAGCCTCCCCTTGTCAGCTTGTCCACTAGCTGTGTCAGGAAGTTTAGCAAGTTACCGATGCTCTCCAGAAACTCCCTTGACTGCTTGCACCCTGCTGTGTTGCCCTTCTAGCAGATTTCAGAATGGTTCAAGTGTCCCTATGAGACCAGGGCCTGCAAGCACAAGGCTTCTTTCAATGGTCTGAAGAATGTCCCACACTTCTTCCCGAGCAGGTGCTCTGTAGCAGATGCCCACCACAACATTGCCCACCTTGGTCTCCCTTTCTAATCCCAACACATTAGGTGTCTGCTGGCTAATCATCAGTCCTTGGGCGAAACTACATGCATTCCTCCTGCTCTCTCCCCTCTTCGCTGTCCCAGCCTGTGCTTCCTAAAGAACCTGTATCCACCCCTTGTAGCACTCCAGTGATGTAAGCTATCCCACTACATCCCTGCGATCCCAATGACATCATAGCCCTGCAACTGCACACAAGCCTTGAATTCCTTCTGCATTAAGCCAAGAATTGTTTTAAGGTCTGTTGTGATTAGCATCTTTAAAATAACCCAGTAATACTGTTGCCCAAAGGAATAATCACATACACAAAAGAACCCCTTCAACAACAAAAAAGGAGGAAAGCAAGGAACAACCCTATGCATTTTATTGTTACTGAGGTACAGTCCCATTACAATTGGCTAAATATGATTTTTTCTGCTTGCTTTTTCTTTTTTTTTTTTTTTTAACTAAAATACAACATATAAAAATAATATAAAAAGATGATTGGTCAGTTGGCTATAAATATACAACCTGTTCACAAAATTAAAAGAAAAAAAAAGAAATGAAAAAGCAGACTCTTTTGTACATATTCTTCCTATTTATGGCCCAGTTCACTCAAGATCGTAAAAATAGTTTTGTTTTCTGTACTACAGCTGCTTTCTGCACAAGGACCCAACACAAAGGTTGTCCTTGGGCTTATAAATTACCATAGGCGAAGACACACGTGACTGACAAGATACAGGTCTCTTACTCTTCTTCTTCACGGTAAGAACATTGTCTTCCTTTGGAGGAGGCACATGTACAGGTTTCCAAGGAATGGGGTTACAATATGCTGGAGCTGGATACAAATGTCCATCAGCACACCCTAAAATGTTTAGAAAATACACATAACTAAAAAGGAATACTTACACTACAAGCTTTACAAAGCAAGCAGCTATAATAATCATCTGAACTAACAAAGACACAATAGCATCTTGAGAGGAAGACAGCACAGGCACATCACACAATTTAAATGATTCCAACCAAGAAATCTTCCACTTTTTTTTTTTTTTAACAATAACTAGCGTATTCTTCACCTCTATTTAAAAAAATAAGCAGGTCAAGTACCGTGTAACATTCAGAATGCCCAGTCCCTTGTACACTTAAAAGCTGCAAATGTCTATGAATTGGCTACTTTGCATTATTTCAAAGCATTTATAGATATAGTTTCTTGTCACCACATATGCAAAGATCACATTTTTCCACCTTTGCTTAACTGTTATTCTTCAGTTTACTGAGGATAAAAATACACTAATTATCACAATAACATTAATAATCTGCAATTAACAACCCAGGACCCATAAAGCAGCATCATAAAATCTAAAATGCAACAGGAGCAACATGTTCCCCTGTCACTCATCTGCCTGTAGTGAAATTTCAGTGCATACATCACATGGCTGGGTAAAAACAAAGTCTGTAATATATTCTGTTGCATGAACACAACTGAGTATAGAAAACTATTTTAAAAATAACTTAAACAAGCAATTGCAGGGAAGTAATGAAGGTCCAAAACAAAACATGAAGACAAAGTCATCACCACCTCTAAACAGATGTAAGCAAAAGAACAAAGGTTGTTCGCCTGCTTTATACATTTTCTTAAACATTCAGAGCCTGGAATTTAGGTCCTAAAATATTTTTTGTGGTGAATTCAAATAATAACAATGATTTTAAGCCTATGAAAAAATGAAGAGAAAAGTATAAATTTTTTAAAAATAAAATTCAATGAAGCACTCAAACATAAAATGCAATATTATTTCTTACTGCTCTTCTGCTTCTGTACCATGTGGGATGACAAAAAATACAAACCTAAAGTGAGACTCACAAAACACCACACTATTAACAACATTAACATTTTCCTTTAAAATTATAAAAGAATAGGATTACAGAAGGCAAGAAGGTGTGATGCAGGTGCAAAGCTAAATGGAAACGAAACCTTAGCTCAGAACACAGGTTGATTTCCATGTCTCCTTTTTCAGACAGCACTTCTTTGCGTCTCAAAAAACCACCCCTTTCCTAAGGGGGATTCATGTGCGATAAGGTGGCACACACCTTCTTGTAACACAAACACTAACTTTACAAGGATGCTAACATAAATGATATGCTTCACAGGAATCAGTACCTGACTCTAAGTGATTCCAATGACTGACAAGGAAAATGAGATCAAAATCAATTATAATTTGGCATGCCACATTATTCTCTCAAGTAATATCATTTTCTCCCAAATAACATGAAGGGCTATAAAAAATGCACAGTCTCAGAGGAAAAGCTTCTCTGACTTATACCATAAGATATTCATTACCATGTGCCAAAATTAGATACTGGATGAAAATCTTAAACAGGCTTAATTTTACATTAAAAGATTAGAGGGAAAGAATCACAAATCTAAGTCACTACAGACGTGTAGTAGTACAAACCTGCAGACTTCCCACGTGGGAAGCCATAACCATATAAAACAGGGCGTGGTTTATTTCTAGCATTATGTAGCCATTCCTTAAAGATCTTCTCTGATCTTGCTTTCTTCTCCTGTAGCTCAGCTTCCCTTTCTTTTTCTTTCTCCTAAAAATAAAAAAAAAAAAAAATCTAACATACTTATACACAAAGCCCTGTACAATATACACAAAACGGTAAATAAATCTTTTACAGATTCCCAGACTGTTGAATATATTTCAAATATGTTTTCAAATACAAATACATTTTCCTGACAACAGAAAAGTAGCATTTTTTTTTCTTCAAGTTTGAAAAAAAATAATAATCAACCTCCACATCAATCCAGTGTTCCTCCAAGTAAAAGCTCTCAGAAACCTTTTGGAAGACTACATCTAGAAGATATTCTGAACAGAATGGGCAGATGACCAGGTCCTACTGTGCTGCAGTAAGCCTATAGAGGCTGTTGCATCTGGGACAGTCATCCACCCTTCTTGTTTACCCATATTCATATGGCCCTCTATCAGTCATGACTGGGTTGCCTCCAAGCCTGGAGCAGGCTTGGGGAACCATTAATCAGAAGTAAGAGTAAAAACAGTACATTTAGGCACAGCATTTGGATTTAAACTAAGTTTAATTGATACTGTGAACATGGCTTATAAGAATCTACATAATGAAAATGCAACTAAAAGAATGCACGTGGTTTAAATCTGTGTGATGACTTGCATTTTCTCAGGTTTCAAGGTCCTTGTGCTGTGCATTTTGGAGGCTCAACAGAAACATAGAATCAGTTTGTTAAGCAGGAAATAAACTCCACCGGTGCAGAATACTTAAGCACTTTTTAATTACATGGGAAATTTTGAAAGACTGCAAAATTAACGTAATTAAGGCCTGAAAATTGATCTGATACAGCTTATGGTATTTTAAAGTTAATCCAAATAAATTATTATGTGTACTTGTGAAATACTTACAAATGTGTTCTGCACTTTAAGAACAACTGCTCTTATTACAAGGGGAATATAGACAAATTCTTTTCACCACAATCCTCCCCCACACTTAGCTATAACTGTAGTGTAGTACTCCTATAATATTACATGTTCTACTGTAAAATGATACTGTAATGTTAATTAAATTAAAATACAACCAATCAACTTCACAGATAAGACATTTGGTCACACATTTCAGTTTTCAGTCTTAATCATTACCAATATGTGGTATTTCAGAGGAATTCTGGATGATTCCTGCAAGCATAGCCTTGTTAGAGCATTTGTTCTAGTGAACTAGAGAAGCTCAAAGCCCACACTTTAGGAAGCTTACAAGTGAAGCTTACTATAAAAATACATAGGTGATTAATTAATATGAAATAACAGTAAAATTAAAACCAGATTGGTACCGATAGGATGAAAAACACTTTTAATCAGAAACATGTGCAAGTATAATGATAATATAGTGATAATAGTGGTGCTGGGAGAAAAATGCCCAGAAGGCCGCTTGTTTTCTGTCTGGGTCACCCTGCAAAGGACTGAGTAACACAGGTACACTGTGTGGTTTGCATTTCTCTTTTCCTTACCATAACACAATTGCAATGCGTTTGCAAAGACTATTAGCAAAAAAGCACTAATATGCATCTTGCTTTGCTGATCATACCTCAATGTCCTCAGTGCACTAACATTACAATTTTTGAAAGTTTTTTTCATGTACAACACTGCCCTTTGATAAATTCTAATCAATTCAATCAACCAATATAAGTTACAGATCAGGCAACCCCAGCCAAACAAATGATTAGTTGATTAATACCTTCTCTTTCTTCTTCTTCTCTGCCTCTTCAGCTCTCTTCTTCTTTAACCATTCATTATACTTTTCTTGGGACTTTTCTTGTAATTGCATTTTTTCTAGTTCCCTTGTGGCTTTTTCTGCCATTTCTTTGGTCAGCTTTCGTTCCCTTTCCCTTCTTTCCTACATGAAACAGATCAAAGAAACAGAACAGAAACTTTTCAGTATATTTCAACACGTAATTCTTTAGAGGAATACAGTTAATTTTATTACATAATTACAAATAAAATTATCATAACCCTGATAAAAAAATAATGTTGTAAGCTCTTTGAAGACAGAACCTATTCATCGCTAGGTTCCAGATAAAATAGTTTTAAACACATAAATTTATCAGGAAACATGATAAAAAAAATTTACTTCCAGGACTCCTTATGCTATTATGTTTACTACTCTGTTTTATCTATTCAGACATTTTTTAAAACACTTCAGACACTTCTCAGTATTTCTGTGAAGGAAATATATGCTGCAATTCTTGACAAGGGTGTGTTAGTTTTACCTTTCAGTGAATCCAGAGCAAACTACAGTTCCAAATGGAAGTCAGGCAAACTGCCCCCTTCTAAGAGTCACTGAGATATGCAAATTGTTCAGGACACTTGAGCATAAATTGATATGAAAATAAGAAGTTCACATGAGAATCCAGCTCGTGTTTTGTGGTATTCTCTACATTTTTTATGTTCTTTAGCTTATTCACATATGGACTTCTTCTAAGAATCTTTTCAGTGTGTGTGTATATCTGTACACAACAATGTTTCAGGGACCATTCTCTAAATGAACAAGGACATATTGAAGGTCTTTTCTCGGTCTGGAGTGGGAGGTATTTTCATTTGAAGGCTAACAACAGCTCTCACCTCCCTTCCCCGTAACCTTCATTAAATGTCTGGGATTCTACCGATTCGACACTACTTCTGCTTAGCTTGCTTCTTCTCTGAAGAACCTGCATACACACGTAGAGGCAAAAATCTTTACCAGACAAGCTGTGCACATGACTTGGAGGAGAGGCAGAAGACTTGAGTTCAGTTTCCACTTCAGAGAAAAGAACTGTTGAAAAAAAATGTTGCTTTTCTTTTAAGAAATAATTTTCTTGTATGGTCGCCTGCGTATTCCTCTTCAACAAAGGAGATGTGTAGTGCAGCAGGAACTTCTGCTGACTCTGAATTTAATTACAGCTAGCAGTATGGATGTCAATGCCTAGAACTACAACTGTACAGTATAATAAATAAATGGAAAAGAGGAAAACAGAGCAGGAATATACTTCCCTTCCCAATTTACCTTTTATAAGCACAAAAAGGCAGAAAGCTAAAGCTCCATCCTGCTCCCCCTACGGGCCTCTCCTCCACCTTTTTTCCAGATTTATTGCACTTCTGGACAATCCAATTATGCATAATGAAGTAGAAGCCATAATAGTGGAGCTGGGGACCAGCACAATTCTCTCAGTCTGGTCTAAACAGGATATCTGCTGGTTCAATCCTTGTTCTCCATACCAAAACTTACCAGTAATCCAATAAAGTAGCATCATACAGAATAAAAACTTTAGCTTATATTGCCCTGCAAAACACTAACCCATTTCTGCCATTTATTGGATGAGATGATGAGGTGCAAAAACAGGGCAATAAAGAGAATGGAAACAAGATCTTTCCTAAAATGAAACAAACCCTTCCATGCTTAAATACATTAAAAAGGAAAAAACTACCCATTTTTGGCAAATTATGCAGATCTGAAGTATCACCCACCTGAAAAACAAATAACCAATTGTCTAAGCTTTTCTTCCTTCTTTGTCTAAAATTCATCTTAATCTCTTTTATTCAGAGCTGTTCCTCTGTCCCTTCATTAACAAACATTCCCCACATGCATCTCTCAGCAAGCCCTGTTTCAAGACAACGGCAGTCTGAGACACATAAAAAGCATTAACACAGATGACAGATACACACTAAAGCAGTGAGTTAAAACCATTGGCGAAGAAGGTTTACAAAGATTTCAAATCTTTTGTTGTTTGCTGGTTTACCTCTATTGTGCACGAAAGTAAGTTACAAAACTAAGGATTTTTCAAAGTTACAGTCTTCAGCTAAGGGTCTTATATAAAAAATATGAAAATAAATATAGGAGAAAACCGAAAAAATGGGCCCCTTCTGTACCTAGGGGAATTATTCAGCAATGGACAATTATAAGCAGAAAATAGAATAAAAACCTTTCTGAAGACTGTAATTAAAAGGCAGGGAATCTTTTTAATTTATGTATCTTTAATCACAATACTCAGATGAGTTTAGCTACCATCTTGGCTGACCCAAAATTAAATTAGGTCCTATGTAAACAATGACATGCCATGCACACTACCGTGAAAGCCACAACTATCGCTAAGTTTTACTTCCATTGAGACATCCTTAAGACCGGGAGACTCCCTGCAGAATTGCAGACTTTGCAGCTGCCTGGAAATTATTCTGCAGACAAATCAGAAATGCTTCCTCCTTCTCTCACGCACAGAACAGCTATTTGTTCATAAAGTTAGTGTACACCACATTCCCAGCTGCTTTAATAACCTGTTTCATGTCAAGCTCCTGTCACCCTGGCCTTCCCAGCTCCCCCTCGTCCTCATTACTTTCTCTTATACAAGTCTATCAAAAATGCTAGGCATGTGCATATTAATGTTCTTCAATCCTCCTTTCACTCTCCTTCCACACATATATGGGGGGATGGAAATGATATAATTTGTTTATGCTTGGTCTTGTCAGATTGGGTTTTAAAAATTCTCTTTGATCTTGTGTTCAAAACAGACATGATCTATTCACTAAACCACTAGTAAATTTACATACACTTTAAAATATGATTACAGGTATTACATAAATTAAGGTATTGATTGTAAAACACCCAATTACTCATTGCAAGAAAGGCTTGTTCTCCCACCACCCCACCCAAGCACATTATTAAGGAGAAAGGATACAAATCTGCCCTGCCAGTTCACTGCTCTGGGCTGTGATCCTATCAAACCTTGGAACCTAATGAAGCCCGGACTAGGTCAGTACTTGGAAATTCCCCACCCAAAGCAAATCCAGCTGTCCCACAAAGCAGTGATGGTGACTCAGTAGGCAGCGTGTGTCTCACTGAGTCAGTACCAAACCCATGTCTCACCAGCAGAACTACTAACTTTTCAAGAAAAATCAGACCTATGTGCATGTGGTGAATTGTCAAAGGAATTTAAAATTTGAAGAAGTATTCCACTTTCTTCCTGACAGAAGGTAGAAATATTAAATAATTTTGCAGGAAAAAAGCCAAATGCCATCGAAACACAGACCCTGTATCCAACTAGAAGAAAATTAATAAAATATGTATTTCTGTATTTTCATATCAATGACTAAATGAGTGACTGGAAATGGCAAAGTACAGAGCTGCATTCTGTTCTGCATTTTCTATGTAGAGTGTCACTGAAGAGAAATATTTTCAGAAATTAGTGTTGTGGTTTATATTTTTAAGATACTTCTCACAGCAATCCTTTCCCATTTTCTGGTCTGCAGAATGTGACAACATTTTTGTTTTCATAGATAACCAAGGGTTTTATTTCACAGCTGTTTGCTCTGACATCTTAGCTACTATATTCTAGCATCATCTTATGCTGACTGATGGCAAAATATAGGAAAAGTCCACACTGCCAACATCAGAATATACATCCAAATTTCCTCATTTATCCTCAAATAATCCTAAATGTCAATCACTTTTAACACCTCAGAAATCTGTGCTGTTTGGCCAATTGTTATTATCTTTTCAATTTAGCCCTGTTACACAGCTCAGTCACCAAGCCTCGTCCACAGAAATATTTCTTTAATCTCTCCAGAACTGGCATGTGAGAAGAACAAGAAGCTAGAAAGGAGGTCAATGAAAGAACACTGAGCTGCAGTTGCCCACTGACAGGCAGGTTTACAACGATTTACTGCTCAAGTTCACACAAAGTCAATGCGGACCACACTGCAGTCTAGTAACTGGAGAATTCTAAGATGGGTGCATATATGGATCTTTCTCCCAACTGTGTTCCTTTCATGTGGGTACTCAATATGTGACAAGCAGAAAGTCTTAGTGTATTTAGTCCCTGAGCACTCTTGGGGTCTTCAGAAGAATGCAGGCCCCACAAAGGCTGCTGAAATACACAAGCACTTGTAGTTTAATCATCTGCCACCCTGAATTCTTCCTCCATAAGTCTATCTAAAACTCAATTCTAACACTAGCCATGAGAAATTAGATTTCTGTAAGTAGAATGAACTAAGCGTAAGTCTGGATACAACTAAGATTCAGGTACAACCTAAAGTTAGAACCGTGGCCTTGGTCATGCACAACCTCACAGAAAATTTTGCGTAAAGACACATCAACACTGTGCTAAAAAAGAAAAAAAAAAAAAGCCTGTTTTGTAAAGTACTACAGGTATGCTAAAAAATCATCAGTATAATTGTCCATTACCGATGCTGAAAACTCCACAATATGCAAGAAAAAAAAAACCCTTAAGAAATTAAGTGCAGGTCATAAAAACATTTAGATATGTAAAGACAGACTTGGGCATGGAAACATAAAATTTAAATTCTTAAATGCAGTTGGTTCTCAAGATTAGAAAGTATTTATGCTAGATATTTAAGCTTCCCTCACAAATACATTTCTTGAAAGGGTTCAGTCTTGAAAAGGTGAACATCTCAGCATCTCTTTCAAGTTTAAACTGTCAGCAAAACCCATAGCACATCAGGTTCTACATAAAATGTAGCAGCAACCACTGCTTTGACTCAGAACAATAGTTCAGCTGTTAGAACATTAACCTAGGACAGGGAAGATCCGGATTTCATTACTTCTCTGCCTGAGGGGATTCAAACCAACATGTCCCACTGCTGGAAGAAGACTCCATCTACCAGGCTGCAGGCTGGGATGAAAAGATTCTCCACCCCATCTGTTGAAGCGGTACCACTCCTCACAAAATAATGAACAATCCATCGGATGAAAGAAAGAAAGCATGAGTGAGCATGACTTTTTAACTTGAAAGCCATGCTCAAGCTGCTGAACAATTTGTGTTCTACATTAACAATGGTGAGATAAAGCATGCATTAATCAAAGTCTTTGGAGTAAGAGTTGGAATCTAATCTCTTCTGGGAGGCATC